CCGCGCCCCGCGGCCACGAACAGGCGCAGGCCCAGCGGCCACGCACAGGCCTGGGGGCCACGTGCAGGCCCGGCGGCCACGCACAGGCCCGGAGGCCACGCGCAGGCCTGGAGGCCACATGCCAGCCCGGGGGAGGCAGCAGAATGCGGAGCAGAGCCCTGGCCACGCAGGGCCTGGGTGGGGGCCGCGCAGGGCCCGCCTCCGCCGCCACCGCGCGGGGTGCCCACACAGAAAAATTTTAAAAGACATTGATATTCTTCTGTTTCTAAATCATGGCCAGGAAAGAAACATAAAGCTCATCTGGTATACCAGGGGTCACAAGTTAGAAGTACTGTCAAAGTGGAAATTGTACAGTCTAGTGCCATTACAGCAAAGAGTATTCCACTCTCTTCCTCAACATCCAAGCATCTCTCAGAACGTTAAACCAGATCAAAACGCTCCAGCATATTAGGCTTTGTTATATAAGGCCATTGTGTTCTTCTAAGATGCTAACAAACCAAAACAAGAAATACTGAAATAAAAATAAAGCATACTAGAAACTAATCATCATAGAAATTGTTAGTCCCTTGCAGTATCCCTCCTTCTACAACATTAATAAACGGAATATGTTAATGAAAAGAAAATTTGATTTCATATCACTAGCCATACATTTTTAACATTAGTTACTACATAAACGCTGCCTCGTTCTGTGTCCAAAAGGCACAGCCATTTGATGCTTACAATCCACTTCAGCATTTATGAAAAGAATCACTTACCTAAGCACATCTATCAGTGAAGACTTAACATTGAGATGTAATCTGACATGCATAATATCTCATGTTTTGTAGACAGCAATGTAGGAGAGATGTATTTATTTATTTATTTATTTTGGAGAGGTTTTTGCTACAGGACGCGTGCACTCGCCAGAAAGACAGAGAGAGACAGAGAGACAGAAAGCGAGAAATCACCCCCCCAAGGGGGGGATGGTCACGCCGCAATCCCTTCTCCTCCATTCTCCTCTCGGGATCTTGGGCACGCACGCACACGTGCCCTGCGTGAGTGTAAGCCACCGGGTCCGGGACTCAAACTGCGGTCGACTACATGGGAGTCCAGCGACATAGCCATTGTGCTAACTGCTGGTCCCGAGAGATGTATTTTTAGTCACCTTTCATCTGAATGACCTTATGTAAAAGAAAAAACATCAATAATTTAGAAGTTCTAAGTCTCCAAAGGAGATGTTCATATGTACGCATAGAAATGGGTACGATGTTGATTTTTAAGAAACGTCCCCCATGTCCACATCCTGTGTAACTGCTGTGCCATTTTTTCTTCCAACTGTTTTCCTTTGCCTACAAGAGGGGCCCGGATAAGATGAATGTATTGCTTGACTTCTTTGATGTCCTGAACTTTCTGAATCTGTTCATAATAAATTTAGCCTGACGTTTCTGTTTGCTCTCTTCCACTCTTTTCATTGCATCAATAGTTTATTCCACAGCTCTTGTTGGTATCTGACGTCCATTCCTACATTTTTCGAATTCGAATGAATGATCCACTGTGAGCTCTTCACCAGCTGCTTTCTGGGATGCTTTAGTCCACCGGACCTTGCGAGGATTGCGCTTCTTTTTAAAGTTTTTATGACATCTGGATTCACAGAATCTGAACACCTTGCAGTCGTTGCTGACAAACGTCATGCCGTGGCCAGGATAGATGGGCCCCAAGCAGAAATAACACTTCTCGATAGGCGAGTCGGACCCGGGTGGGCTACATGGGCCTGAGAGGAAGTGACATCCTGGGGTGCTTTCTTTCTCTTCCTCTCTCTGACATGTACATGTGCCTCTGGCAAATTTTAACAAAGTATGTGTTAAACCATAGCCTCAATTAAAAAAAAAAAGCCTTGGCATTTATGTGGTAAAATGTTTCATATGTTTTCTCTGAAATCTAAAAAGCCTTTAGAAACCTGAAAAGCTTTTGTTGCTATTGCCATCATAGCCAAATAAAATATATTTATAAATATTCTTGAGAAGACAAAGACTTTCTATCATCTTTTATCTGTCTTTTTTTTAAAGAATTGTTTTATTTAACTTTATTCATTTGTTTACTTATTTTAATTTAATCAGAGAGGGACACACACAGAGAGAGAGAGAGAGAGAGAGGGAAACTGAGAAAGCAAGCCTTAAGGTACAGGACTCAAATTATGGTTAACCATGTGGGAGTACAGAACCCTTAACCACCACGCTACCGGCTGGCCCCCAACTATCTGTTTTTCATGGAGGAAAGTTCACAAATTGGCAGCCCAGGGCCAATTCTGGTCAGTGGATAAATCACTGGCCTTTATTTTAAATTGCCAGCATTAAACATATGAATATTTTCATAAAAACCCCAGATTTTCAACTTCTCCAGAAAACCCGGAAGGTCTGGGCTGTAAGCCCGCATGCCCACATGCTAACATCAGGCTGGACCTTGCCCTCCAGTGTGGACGGCCTCAGATCCATGCAGTTGTTGTTCAGACACCTTTCCTCATTGCTGCTCCCTGCCTGGCTCTCGCAGGTCCCCATATGGTGTTTAGGACCTCAGTTCAGAGCACTGTGTTCTCTGTAAACATCGCAAATTACACTCTTCATTTTGCCATGGCTGACATAGCTGGGGATGTCTTAAACCAAACTAGGTTTTTAAGGATGGTTTTTATATTTCTCTTTTAGACACAGGAATACAGCATACAGAAATATCAAGTCAATATCTCATTTTGAAAAGGTATGTAATCTATTAAAATGTTCACACATTCTGACACTCCTTATATTTTCTCTCTGTTGGGGATTATTTATAGGCTATTAAGGCAGGTATGTACTAGGGACATGAGAAGCTTCCCATACGTTTTCTTTTCTTTTTTTTTGGAGGGGGGGAGTGGTTTTTGATATAGGGCACGAGCGCTCGCTAGAAAGACAGTGAGACAGAAAGCGAGAAATCACCCCCTAGGGGGGATGGCCATGCTGCCACCCCTTCTCCTCCATTCTCCTCTTGGGATCTTGGGCACGCATGCACATGCGCCTGGCGTGAGTTTAAGCTGCCGGGTCCGGGACTAAAGCCACGGTTGACTACATGGGAGTCCAGCGACATAGCCATTACGCTAACGCTAACTGCTGGTCCCATTCCCATACGTTTTCATTGCCCTTTATTCCTGGTGGTTTTGAAAACTGAGCTAGGACGTTGATGCTGTGCAGGTGAGTCTCCCACCATCAGGGAAGGATGCCTGGCAGAATCGGCAGCATGGATGCTTCGACGTGGTGTGCGTGAAGCTAAAGTTACACTTGGTCAGTGGCAGGAAGTCAAAGCTGAAGGTGAACCATCTCATCTGGCAGCTGTACTCACCAGCCTTGGCCCCTTCCTATCTCAACACATGCTGCTCTCTTCAAGTTCTTTGTTACTGACTTCCTGGTTTTAACGTCATGGTCTTCTGCTCTGTGGCTGTGGTGTGCCGTAGCTGGTTGTGTCTGAGGATGGCCACCTGGACGTCCCAGGGGACAGCAGTGATGTTGCACACTTGTTTTATTTGCCTTACCAGTGAAATGCTTTTTCTCCTTGGCCCTAAGGAAGACAGTGTCCTCAGAGACTTCTATGCACCTGGGAAACCTGCATCCCCTTTACCTGGAGGCAGCATTAGGGATCCATTTTGAGAAGGTCTGAGCGGAAAGAACTGTCCTTTTGGTGAGGAGGGATGCCTGGGCTGTTCACATTATACCTGAGTTAGAAGATACAGGATTTGTCTCATGACTCTTCCTTACTTTTTTTTGGCAAAGTTCCACACAGGTGAGTCACTATCCTGTCTGGGACCCATTGAAACCACTTTTTCTATACTAAATTTGCTAATGTACAAGAGCCACCAATGGTTTTCAATTAATCAGCTACCTCATTCCTCACCGCCCTGCATAATTAAGTCATTTACGCTTCTCATAAGACAGCCATTTGTTCAGTGAGCTAAAGGCCGCGTGCTGCTCCATCATCCTGTAAAGACATACCGCTGTGGGCGGTCACCAGTACCCTGGTCCAGCCTTCCCTCGCCGTGACAGGCTACCTGCGACTGCCTCTGCCATCAGGCCTCTTAGCCAGCAGCCTGCCATTGTGACATGGGCTGGTGGTCCCATGGTGCCTCAGGGCACCAGCTGCACCCGCTCCCTGACCCAACAACAACCCTTCCTCAGGTACATGCCCCAGTTCTGCTACTGGAGTGCTGAAGCCTCCTGCTCAATCTCACCTGCTACTACATTTCGAAATCTGATACCCGAGGAGCGTTTTTTATTTTTTTCATAACAATGAGAGTTGCTAAAAATAAGTTACTTGCTTGAGTTTCCACAGCTTGTAATGATAAACCCAGGATCCTGGCCTTTATGTCCTGCCTTGTTCATTTAAATCATGCCTGCCTCTTAAACACTAGCTTTTTGGCAAATACATTCTATAGTTCACCTTGAGACACCTGAGGTAAAGGTATCTCCTTACTTTGTGGAGGGTGTGGGGAAAACATTAAAAACTACAAATACCGGTCTCTCGGCTGTTGCACCCAGCTCCCACAGCTGAGAAGTCACTTCCCTACGTTTATGAGTTTCTCCTTGCGTTTGCTAGAGAGGGGTAACATGTGAATGCCAGTCATTTCCAGATGTTCAGAACTGGGACACGACAACGTGAACACTTCGCTGGCTCCTGTGGCTGAGTCACTGGTAAGTCAGACGATTCTGTGTAAGGAACTGCTCTCACCAGATTCCGAAGTAGACTGGTCTTTCTCCCCCAAGCACCACATGTCTAGCATGGACAGGAGCTTAGCATCTTTCCTTTCCCTAGTGTTTCTGTCAGTCTGCACCATATCTGTAATCTCTGGGTCCAAGTGGTTCTTGGAAGGAAAATAACATATGCTAATTATAAAAATATTATTTAAACTTCTTACAGTACAAAGTGAACTCTGTGATGGTAATTCTAGCAGAAGATGAACTGAATAACTAGATTATAGATGGGAATAAGGAGCAGGGCTAACAGGTAACTGTGGGGAAATTTCAGGAAGTCTGTAAATAAAATTTCACTGATTATTTTAGACTATAGAATAATAGCTCTGAGATTCCTTTTGTTTCTCTTCTTCTGTCTTCCTCTCTACAGTACTAACATGGTCAAAAGAAAATTAGAAATACATGTCAGAGAAATTCCACATATTTGAAAAAAATTAATTTTTTTAAGGATGGGGATTTGCAAATGACTTTTTCTTATTAAAAGAAAACAATGATGAGGCATGTAGTTAACATGGTAGTTGGGGCGCTAGACTCCCACATGGCTGACCATGGTTCGAGTCCTGGACCTGACGGCTTGCTTTCTCACTCTCTCTCTCTGTTTCTCTGTGGTGAGTGCATGTACCCTATCACACGTTCAAAAATAATAAACAAAATTAAATAATTTTTTTAAAAAAGCAAAATACATTTTACAATTGGATGATGAAGGATGACAGCATTAGAATGTTGAGGTAGTCTCTAAATGGAAACAACCTTTGGTCATATTGGGGGGATTTGCATTCTCTTCCTGTAGTTTTGTTAATGGGGAGACTCAACTAATGGGGGTCTCCACTTAGGAGGATCCTTGGCTCTGTGCAGGAAGGAATTCAAGAGCTAACCTTTGAGAGAGAGTGAAAGCAGGCTTAGTAAGGAAAGTGTAGAGTGGACTACACCGTAAGTGGAGCAGCCCTGTGAGAGGAGATGGTGAACAGTTTTGTTCCCTCCTTAGGGAGACAGGATCGGGAATTAGTCCGGAACTGGAACCTTTATTGTAAACCAATTGACTGTAAATATGTGGGTTTCTTCCTGGGCTCCCTCTTCTGTTTCATTAGTTAATGTGTCTGTTTTTATGCCATTACCATGCTATTTAAGTTACAGTCATTTTATAGTATGGTTTGATTTGAAATAAGGTAGTATGATATCTCTAGTTTTGTTTTTCCTCAGGATTGCCTTGGCTTTTTCTTTTTTTGTGGCTCATATGAAGTTTAGAAATATTTTTTCTATTTCTATGAAAAATGACACTGGAATTTTGATAGGGGCTGCTTTGAATCTGTGACTGCTTTGAGTAGTACTGATATTTTAACCACATGAATTGTCCCAATTTATTAACACAAGATGTATTTCATTTATTTGTGTCTTCTTAAGTTTATTTTATTAACATTTGTAATTTCCAGAGGGTATGTATGCTCACCAGAGGGAGATAGAGAGATAATCAGAGGAAGAAAGAGAGAAAACGCTGTCTAGTGAGGTGTGATCACACTAGTTTCTTCTTCATTTCTTTCGGCGTGCACACACATGTGGTCAGTGTATTTTTCAAGCCACTGGGACCAGGATTCAAACCTTGGTTGGCCATATGGAATCCAGCTCCCTTAACCACTATGGGGCCAATTCTATTTCATTATCATTTCCAGCATACAGGTCTTTTACCTCTCAGGTTAAATTTATTCTTAAGTGTTTTACTTTTGGGAATAGCTATTGTAAATGAGATTATTTCTTGATTTCTGTTTGGCAAGTTTGTTGTTAGTGTATAGAAAGATAGTTAATTTTGTATCCTATAACTTTACTGTATTTGTTTATCAGTTTTAACAGGTTTTTTTTTTTTCTTTTTTTTTTCTCCCGATGGAATCTTTTGGGCTTTCTATACAGGTGTACCTCAGAGATATGGCAGATTCAGTTCCTGACCATCACAATAAAATGAGTAAAACCTAGTCACACAAATATTATTTTTTGGGGGGTGGGGGAGGGTTCCCAGCACACGTGAAAATTGTTGCCACCATCCTAAGTGTAATACTTATTTTGAAAGGAATCATTTTCTTGGAGTAACAAGTATTATTAGAGGGCTTAAAATAGCCAGTAGCCCCTAAAAAAATGTGCTGTCTTCCAGACTTTGTTGTTTCATTTACAGAGCACATGCAGAATAGATTTAGCATCATTCTCAGGGTCGTAGAATTTTTGGATTGGTAAATGAGCATTGCTTTAACTTAAAGTCATCAATTGCATTAGCTTCAAACAAGGGACATTTTGAAGCCCAGCAGGTTACCTCTCCTCTGTAGCTGTGGAAGCCCTAGACAGCATCTTCTTCCAATGTAAAGCTGTGTATCTTCGTTAAAATCTATTGTCTGATGTGGGCACACTTGACATATTTATGTCAACCCTTCTCATACAGATCCAGTATCACGCAGTGGTGCCCTGCCATGTGTGCCGTGTGGCTGGACCAAAACCTTATACTCAAGATGACCTGTTTTAAGCTGATAACCTAACTTTGATCACATACAAAAACTCTGAACTTTTACACCTCTTTTTTAAAGCTACATTTAAACTTAAACCTATGTTTAAACTTTGAAACCTATGTTTCCAATGTCAGAATTTATGTTTTATAATATATATCCCTTTGCAATTCAATTTACTTCAGCTGTAGTCTGAGTCTGGCTCTGTATTATTATACGATTGAGTTTTGTGCTTTTAAGTTTCTGCTATTAATTAGCAGCCTTTCATTCTAGCTTAAAGAATTCCCTTTAGCAATTTCTGCAAGGCAGGCTGTCTTAGTCTGCTACATACAAATACTTGATACTAGGTCATTTATAACAGATAGGGGTTTATTTGGCTCATGATGCCGGTGACTTAAAGCCCAAGGTGTGGGGTTGGCACTAGGCTGGCATGTGCAGAGAGAGCTCTGTGGGCATTTGTCACATTTACAACAGCCTGCTCTTGTGGGCACTAACACCTCCTGCAAGAGGAGAAACTCTCTCTTGTGAGAAAGCATTAGTTTATTCTGAAAGTGATGCCTTGATGTTCCAATCACACCCCACAGGCCCTACTTCTTAAAGGTCTCACCACTTCCCATTGCTGTTATACTGGGGACATAATTCCAAAACATGAGCCTTTCGGGGACAAACCATTATTTAAACTGAGCACAGGCTTAGTGGGACCTAGGTTATGATTATGCATGAAAGTTTTTTTTTTTTTTTGATTATTCCCTCATTTCTGAAAGACAGTTTTGCTAGGCTTAATATTCTTGATTGGTAGTTTTTTCTTTTTTTTTTTTTTTTTCTTTTAGCACTTTGCATATATCATCCCACTTTCTCTTTGCCTGCAGGGTCTCTGCTGAGACAGCTGCTCATAATCCTGTTGGGATACCTTTGTATTTGATGTGTTACTTATCTCTTGCTACTCTCAGAAGTTTTTCTTTGATTTTTTTAAAAAAAATGCTGTCAGAGGGCACATATCTTGTCAGACAGAGACAGAGACAGAGAGAGGGAGTACTCCAATGGGGTGCTGCAATCTCTCCTCCATTTCTCCCTCCTGTTGGGATTTGAGGCATGCATATGCAAGTGCCTGGTGTGTTTTTCAAGCCACCAGGGCTAGGACTCAAACTGCACATTGTCCATTGGGATTCTTTGCCATCAGGCTGCAAGGCTAGGCCTGTCTTTGATTTTGATAGTTTGATGACTATGTCTTGCTAATCTTCTCTTTGCTTTGAATTTGCATGGAGGTCTCTGTGCTTCCTGTACCTGATGTTGACATTTCCCCCCAGACTAGGAAGGGTTTTAGTTATTCTTTCTTTCTTTTTGTTTTAGGGCATGTGTGCTCACCAGAGAGACAGAAAGCAAGAAATCACAGCCTGAAGGGATGGTCATGCTGCAATCCCTTCTCCTCCACTCTCTTCTCAGGATTTTGGGCATGCGTGTACACATACCTGGCATGAGTTTCAAGTCCCTAGGTCTGTGACTTGAACCACAGTCGGCCATATGGGAGTCCAGCAGCATAATCATTACGCCATCTGCTGATCCCCTTTATTTCTTTAAATATGATTCTGGGCCTTTTTCTTTTTCTTCTCCTTCTTAAATTCCTATTATGCTTAGGTTAGAGCTCTTAATAGTGTTTTGTAATTTTCGTAACTTTCCTTCAGTCTCTTTACTTTTCTGATTGAAAAATTTCAAATGTTCTGTCTTCAAACTTACTGACTCTGTCTTTAGCTTGATTATGTCTGCTTTTGAAGCATTCTACTTCCTTTTAAAAAAACTCTAGAATTTCTTTTTTATTATTTAAAATTCTTTTCACTTGTTTGATTTGTATTTTGACTTCCTTTTTTGTTTTTAAATTTTATTTATTTTAAAATTTATTTTGATTTACATTTTATCATGTCTTTACAGTATACATTTCTTTTTCCAAGACAAAAATCATGCATGTCTGTCAAGACAAGGATATTGCTATATACATTATCATCAGCAAATAGCTTCTCATTTTTTGTCAGTTAAGCATAATTTCACCCATTTTTTTCCTCTCCTTTCCCCTCCTGCCCTTCCATACTAACCCTTTCTTTTAACATTTTATTGATTCACAAAAGATCTTAAATATGGACGAAGCTAGAATCTAGTACAAGAGCACTGTAATCTTCTTCTGAAATATTTTTTTCCCTCTCTCTCCATTCCCCTTTTACTAAAGAGAGGTATGAACTAACTTATTTGCAAAACAAACAAACAAACAACAACAACAACAAAACACAAAAAAAATCCCCCCAAATTAGGTTACTCTCAGTTTGGTCTGTTATTTGCACAAAGTCCCATAAGAATTCAATTTATGATGCAAGGCAACAGATACTATTGTATTATTGAACTTATGCAAATAACCATTCTGCTACAAAATAAAAATGCTCACAAATACTTTCCAGTTAGGAAGGGAGA